ACATACATACATACATACATACATACATACATACATACATACATACATACATACATACATACATACATACATACATACATACATACATACATATATATACATCTCTCTCTCTCTCTATATATATATATATATATATATATATACACAAATATATATATGGAGATGGCCTTGTCCCCCCAATGGAAAACTGTATGTAGTTTATAAGGTAATAATAAGGTAATAATGCCACAGAGGAGGGCATGCGGTTTATTTCAATTACCTTTATCACTTTGTCCAGACGCTTTCCGGGTGAACTGGTTTGACTGATAAAACTAAACTAAACTAAACTGGTTTGATGGCTGAGGCATAAACCCGTGTAAGGAAAAGGACACACTGACCTGCAGCTGTTCTGGGAAAGACAGGGATCTACTAATGTGTCTTCAGAAGAGACGGGGGGGCTTAAATTCAAAACATTCAGCCATGCTGAAAAAGAAGAGGAAAAGACACAACATGAAAAAATGAGCTTCAATGAATTCTGACAAGTAGATAATGTGCACACAACTCATCTAATTAAAAGAGAAAGTGATGTGTCAGACAAAAAAAAATGAAATCAGCAACTCAGAACATAAATATTTATTCCATCCTAACATGGTTATTGATAAAAGAGAATCGTATTGACCTGTTTGTTATGCAGGCAACCAGACGAGACCCTGAGAATTGGTCTGAGTTAAAACAACCCAAATATTGGAACAAAAAAAGCTTTTAATGCTTCTGAAACTAGCATTCACTTAAGTAATTAATCATAAGTTTATAAATGGGGAGCTAATGGGGCAATTGGCAGCTCAGGTGAACCACTGTAGTTCTTAATTGAATAGATCATAGCAAAGCCAATTAGTTTTTCAATATCTGTTGTACACAGACAGAAATAGTGAAAGAACCTAGCTTCGTTTAGTTTTCGCTGAGTCAGCCGGAACAACGTTTCTCTGACATCCAGCCATGTTCTTCCTTCCGTAACCCGCTTTGTTGACAGTTATATCCCTCTTCTCTTTGATTAGGACAATAGCAATTAGCCGACCGATGTTAAAGGACAGTTATCCACTTCCAAGATCCCTGTTCGAGTTCTGGGGAGGACGGATGACAAATAGGCGTGAGTGAACGAAATCCTCCGTTAGGGAGGAGGGAGATAAATCTTCCTCTTCCTCTTGGGCAGGAGTCCAGCTCCACACAGCCGGTTTAATTAGAGCCGATCCCCCCCGGGAATATTTAGGATGATGGTTCTAGCAGCTTGGCCCGGCTCAAACCTGCTCGTCCAGACAGGTGGGCAGACGGAGGCCCTGGACAAATAGAGATAACCCCTAACAAATTCTCAATTTGTCTCTAAACGAGGAGCAGGGAGACTGGTGTTTTTTTCTCTAAACGAGGAGGCGAACACTCGCTCCGTTCGTCTGATACTGGAGCTGTGATTCATTTGATTGTAACGCACTGGTGGGAGTTTGAACAAGGAGAAGAAGCACCGGGTTTTATTTTCTGATTGCAGAATTTCAATTTCAAATTCATATTCGCGTATTCGTGGAGGTGTACAAAAATTCTTTAAGACTGGCCCGCAGTCGTGGGCTGGAGCTGGGACAATTTTAGGCGTCTTCGTGATGAAGATCTTTTTTATTTTTTATACATTGTTTGATTTAGCTGTTTACTAAGACATGAATTTCAAACTGAGAGTGGGTCGTGAGTCGGGAAACAGTGAATTTGTCCCCTCTCAGCTACGGTAGATCCTGACCTCTCCCAGGATGCTGGTGGTCTCAGGGGGACTGGGAAACTGGAACGTTGGGATCCTAAAAATATTTGTTATGCCCAGATACCTTTTTTTTAAATTGCAGTACAGCAGTGGCAACGGAGGCAGGATAAAAGATAAGGACCGATTTAAGAAAAAAAAAAAGCTGTAAAATGATCCATATGATTTCAAATACAGTCTTATCTGAATCTGTCCGTAGAATAGGATGTTATTGCACATTCTGAATTAAAAGTGATCACATTGGTCTGAACATTTCTATCCCAGTGTTATGGTTCACATATTTAATCCACCTTATTTGATCTTTTGTAGTTCTCCCTGTGTCTGTTAGCTGCTTCGGCGTCCTCCCACCGTCCAAAAACATGCATGTCAGGTTAACTGGACACTCCAAATTGTCATTAGGAGTGAATATTAGTGCATGTGGTTGTGTGTCTCTGTGTCACCCAAAAGTGGACTGGAGACCTGTCCCCCCTCTCATCCGTTTTCAGCCGGGATAGGCTGAATTAGCAAGTCTTTATTTTATTTTCATCGCTATTCGTCATTAATATCTTTAAGAATCGTTAATAAAATACCAGAAATATAAGTTTTACTTACAGGTATTTTAAATACTTCAAACTTGCACTGAACTAATAATTACGTCTTTGGATAGCAGATAAATACAGCTGGTGTGCAGAATTATGCAAACACCATAATAATTGTCTATTTCTTTGTTTACCAAGGTGAAGAAACTGTGAGTTTCAGATATATTTACCAGCTTTAGAGTGGATGTCTTCCTCTGGGGTCGCTGCTAATGACTTCTACTGCAGCTGTGGGGGGATTTTTCCCTTTCAAGCGAGAAACAAAGTTTGTAGACTTTCTGAAAGGAAAAATCATGGATTAAAAGTCTAAAAAGTGGATTAGAGTGGATTTAATTTGGAATCAGAGAAAAACTGTGACTTTGAGACTGTGTTCACACAATACGATTGAATTCTTAAATACACATTTTTCTCTATTTTTTCCCCCTTCGTCCAGCTTACACCCCCACAGTGTGTGGTGTGAAGTGTTTTCTGCCTCAGTGTGTGATAAACGAGAGTTGTGGCCAGTCACTCCAGGCAATGCAGCTTCATTAAGTGCCTTACTGCACTCGGCTGGCTGTGGCTGCCTCTAACAGGGAGGAATGGCACGCGGAAATCTTTTTAAAGACCATTTGGAAGTCAGAAAAATAGACCGGGGTCCAAGGATGATGCAGGGGTTTGAGACTGTTGCCTTTTCGCGGATGCAAAAGGCCGGAACACAATTAAACCTATCTGCGATGGAAGTAATTGGATTTATTATTGAAATGGCTCAGAGTTATAAACCTGTCACAGACTCAGCCTCAGAGGCGTCAAGGACGTTTTATCTTTGAAACTATTACATGACAGTCAGGCAAGTGTAAATAGAGGGCTTCGAAAGTCTATATGTGGGCATGAAAATGCAGAAAAATAGTCTGAATGAAGCTCCGAACTACTGACAAGAAGCTCGACAATTTGCACATGTTTGCAAATTAGATTTAAAAGGAAACTACACATTCGGGATGCTTGTCTTTATGTAAGCGGAGTCTTTTATAAAAAAAATTCCCGAGTGTGAGATTACTATCGCTCTGTACATTTAGATGATTTCAGTGGTTGAGTATACTTGTCAAAACTGTGGAGGAGTGTAGAAAAGTGAAAAGACTGGAGGAAAAAAAAAAACCTCTCCACCCCCGGATTGTCTTTTTTTAAAGCATTGCGCTTTACGGTGGAGAAAAAGAGAGCCTTAACAGGTGAAAAAGTTGAAAGAAATCAGTCTGCGGGCTCCGACAGGTGCTGCACAATGTTTTTTGGGTTTAATTAAGTCTTATGTGCAAGTGAGACTGGCGGAGCGGGAAGAGGCAGGAAAGAGGGAGGTCTGCCAGAAACATGACCTTATTTTACATAGTGAAGTTAATGGAAAGGAACAAGCGCTGTCATCACTGTTTCTGCCCACTGTGCACGTGCGTGAGCCTCATGCAAACTCACATTTGCGTGCACACACTAATGCGCTCACACACACTCTCGCTTTGCAATCGCGGCTCTGAAGAGCCTTCAGTCTTTCTCTCTTTTTTTTCTGTCTGCCAAGTGTTGTGAGACTGAGGGTCTTTGTCATGTCTGAATCTCTGCGCACTAAAAGTTCTCTATTATGTGACGAGTGAATGTGACTCATTGTGTCTTTTTCTGCACGGTAGGTGGTGACCTCCGGAAAGAACACCAGAGGATACCACTATATCCTCGCCAACCTGGTGAGAGCTAGCAAAAAACCCAACACCACACAGTCACAAAAACAAAATAAAAACCTGGTGAGAGCTAGCAAAAACCCAACACCACACAGTCAGAAAAACAA